TCCCATGGTAGACGCTGCTATTAAATACAATAATCGGACTCAAAAACATTTGCTAACGGGCTAATTGGCGGTGCATTGTTGTACAGCAGCACAAGGAACAGAAGAAAAAGGAGAGGCGAGGATGCTAACCAGTCTATAAGGACCGGTGTGCTACCCTGAAAAGTTCTCCACCCCTTTTCCCCCGGGTAAAAGCCGTGGGGAACTTTTAAAGATGGAGGAAGATACAGGGAGGGGATAGCGCGCACACACCAAGTCACACACCTCACAGTCATTGTAACTCCGTCAGTTTATAATCGTAGCGAAAAATCAAGAAGGCACAGGACATCTTGTTTAAGCATTCTGTGCCATGATTTTTTGGTTTCTTGTTACGTTTGTTTTGTTATGATCTATTAACTATCGAAACCAAATGGCGAGGGAATGCTCCCGGGTCGCAAGCTTGAACTTTTGCATTTCTTTGGCCCTCTGATCATGAATTACATGTTAGTTTTTCTGCTTTTGAGTTCTTGTTTATTATGCTACACATTAGCCTGTGCTATTTCTGTTTTCGTGCATACCGCAGTTCCGATGTATCCGGGGGGAAGGTAGCAACGTCAAGCCTCGACTGTGAGGCTTTTTTTTCCCTCCTCCTCCTCAGCCATGTATTTTTTGTATGCATGTCTGAAATAAAGACTCAGACAACACACCTAAATCCTGGTAGGTGCGTATGAATAGCTGCATGGTACGTGGCTAATGGTAGGTGTAACCTTAAGAGACAAGAAGAGAGCAGAGTGGATTAGGGGACAAACGGGGCTTAAGGATATCATAGTTGCAATCAAGAAGAGGAAATGGACTTGGGCCGGGCATGTAGCGCGTAGACAGGATAACCGCTGGTCATTAAGGGTAACAAACTGGATTCCCAGAGAAGGGAAGCGGGTTAGGGGGAGACAGAAGGTTAGGTGGGCAATGAGATTAAGAAGTTTGCGGGTATAATTGGCAGCAGCAAGCACAGGACCGGTTAACTGGCGGAAACATGGGAGAGGCCTTTGTCCTGCAGTGGACGTAGTCAGGCTGATGATGATGATGATGATGACGTGGCCCAGGGCTGGGCGCTATGCAGCGGACGGGCCGGCGCGGCCTGGAGAGCTGCTGCGCCCTGGCCAGTACGGCAGCCTGCCGCCGTCGCGCGTGCAACAGAGCGCGGAGTGAACAGCGGACGAACGAGAAGGGACACCGAGATCTCATGAGACTGCAGCAGCAGCACAGGCAAGAAGAGGGACAGCCGTGCGCCGAGCCCCAAGTGGTACGATGCCTGCGCAACGTCACATCTGCCAAGCAGCCACACAGTAAGTGCATTTATCGCTTACAACCTGTCTCCCTAATGTAGTCTCTCCCCCGTGTAGGGTAGCGAACTGGACTTAGTCTATAGTCAACCTCCCTACTTTTCTGATATGCTTGTTCTCTCTCTCTCTTACTCCGTTGCGTGTTTACAAAGTTAAATATATAAAGAAGTCAAGAAATGTCGGTGGCCGGAACATGTGTACCACCTACCATAAGGTACGCGAACAATTGAGGTCTGCCAGGAGGTACGCGAGCAGCTGCTACCCACCACGCAACAGGTTTGTGTAGATGTGTCAACAAGCACGCACGATGGTGTCTAAGCAAGTATCTGGACTCCAGTGGGTACCCTATTATTGCGTCACTTTTGTCGTCATCATTATATGGCGTGGAACGTTAGCAACAACAAAACAAAATGATAGTATTAAAGAGGAACGTTCCGGGTGGCAACGAGAATAGTTACTCGGTTAACCAATCTACGTAAAAAGAATGAAAATAATTTATTTATTTATTAGAATACCCTCAGGGCCCGTAGGGCATTACAGAGGGGGTGGGTACAACATTTATAACACACAAGAAAAAAAAGACAAAATAAAGAAACAAGTGTCAGATGCGCAAATCAGGAAGGCAACATAAGTCAACTAAAAATGTTAAAATTCAAGCACATACAAGACAAAGATAGATAATGGAAACTGCGTATAGTTACATGCATTGCTGAGAAATTGCAGTCTTGAATAACAAAGGGTCTGTTATTGTTACAACGGAAGAGGGAAGGTGGTTCCAATCGGCGGCTGTTTTCGGTAAGAAGGCTGCTGAAAAGAATTTGGTGCGGCAAAACGGAATGGCAACCTTATGCTGATGATCAATGCGCGATGAGTGGTATGACGGTTGTGAAATGAGGTCTCGCTTCATTGATGGATTGTGAAAAAATATCTTATGAAAAAAATGCAGTCGCGCCAGTTTCCTCCGGACAGTTAAATTGGGTAGGTCAAGGTTAGATTTCATTTCTGATATGCTAGCAGTACGGGAATAATTAGAACAAATAATGGTGCAACATGAAGATAAGAGAGAAAGAAAGAGTGACAGGAGGAATGACGTAGTCGAATTCTTGTTTAGGAGTGACAGCAGCAGCAGTGCATATAATTTTTTTCCCTTAAAAGCACAGAATCGACGTTTTACATGGGCGGAATGAGTATTGATCTGCATTCTGAACAGTTTGTGGGTGGCTATGCAGCCGTCCTCATGCGCACAGTATACCGAGATTCCCTTTTCAATCGCATTCTAGTTAAATTATTGTATTTGCATCCTTACCAGATGCAGTTAATTATTTAATAAATTATTCGCGATCAGTAGTTTTAGCACGAGGGAAGCTACAGTATTTTACATTTTTTCTTGAGTAAAGTATACTACTATAATTTCTCAGTTGAGTTGTGGCTGAGGTGCTCAACATTGAGCCGGTGCCCTTCCTATATACGGCGTCCTCTCTGTCATATATCATGAGATGCTAAAAAATTACATCATATCCACGGAGTTAATGATGATGAGTGGGGCGAAGCGTCCATTCATACATCCGTCCGTGTGTCCACCTGTCCGTGCATGCGTCCATCCGTCTAATCGCGTTCGAGAACGCAAATGGCGTGCTGGTAACACCGACTAGACGCGAGCCAAGGAAGCCAACGCAAGCCTTCAACGCACCCCCGCTCTGCTTGGTTGATGCCCCACAAACTTCGCCCCATACAGCGACTATCCAGGAGACTGAGAGAGACACTCGTTTTCCGTGCATTGAGGCAAAGCACACGCAGCAGCCAATCAGAGATTAGCGGCACTTCGGAGAGTAGCGAAAGTGGTAATGCCATTCAGGAAATGAGACCAGAAAGGGTCTTTCATTTCATTTGCTTTCTTTTCTTTCTCGTCTCTTCTCTTGGTTACGCGTGACCAGTGACAAGGTTAGACTGAGAGGAGCTTCGCACCCAAAAGGAATGAATGAGTAAGCTTCAATGAGTATGTTTTGTTTTGTGAACTCTGCCAAAATAATAATAAATTTTAGCGCTAAGTTCATCGCAGAACGCGGACGGACGGACGACCCACGTCCAGTCATGGCCACTGTGCGTCGTATCGTGGTGTCCATTGTGAAAGGGGCGCCAACATTGCACAGAAGCGCTAACATATCAAACAATCAGTAACGTAAACGCTGTTTCGACTACTGGTATTTGCAAAATTAGTTTTGCATTTGTCGGTGCCACAGTGTAGGCTTGGGGGCCCCTTCAACCTGGCTCATCCCGTAGCAATTCACATTGCGCGCCATTGTATACTTGACAAGTGTATGATAATGAAGGCGTCGAACGTTTTTCGCAGAGCTTCACTGCTGTGCCCAAGCACCGAGCGGGCAATGTCGAGACGCGTGCCTGCGAGTGCTGCGCCCGAAGGAAGTTGCACCCGATGACGTCACCGGGGATGAAGATGCCGTGGATGCTCTGCTGGCCGGAGGGTGTGCGGCACCAGGTTTGCACGTGAGTGTTTTCGAGTACAAAGGAAAAGTGAGAGAGAAAAGATTGTACCACAACATAACTTCCTTTTTTTTGCACCAAATCAAAGCGGACAAGGGCAGAGAAAAACGAGACATGCTCAAACACTTTTGCATGTTTCGAATAACCGACACCAACTAGCCGAAACCCGCATCCTAACACATCTACCGAGAGGGAGCGATTGCCGATCAAGTATGCCACGTGGTATAGCATCACCCGTAGCGAAATCACTATACCACAACCACTGCCACAACCGCCCCCGGAAGCCTGAACTTCCGCCCGCAATAAATCACTCTTCATTCAGACCGCAAAGGACTGGAATCGTCTTTCTGCTGACGTGGTTCACCACTCCTGCCATACACATTTCAAAACATGAATAAAAATCATCATGGGCTAGCTACGGCCACCTATCGCGGACCATTTGATGTACTAATAAATAAATAAATAAATAAATAAATAAATAAATAAATAAATAAATAAATAAATAAATAACTAAATAAATAAATAAATAAATAAATAAATAAATAAATAAATAAATAAATAATAAATAAATAAATACATAAATAAATAAAAATAAATAAATAATAAATAATAAATAAGACACCACCAAACAAATCTGATCATGCGACTATGTTTTGTAATTGCGGGTCTTAGGACAATCGTATCTTCGCCCTTTGCCGGTGCGCCATTGATTGAAAACTCGCAGTCCATGTTCTACATCCATCGTTCTACATACGTAGAACGGTCAGAAGAGTCTATAGGGCTGAGCGTGTCGGTATACACCATGATTACGAGTCATTAGCATCGCGAAAGACAAGAATGGTATAAAAAGAGGGCACGTAGTAATGTGTGCGCTCTCTTCTGTCTTTTCGGGCATTACGCGCTGCTAAGAAGTCGAAACCGTGACCGTATCCTTGGGAAAATAAATCTGGGAAGAAGGGTATTGTTCAGAGACACACAAGAGAGAAATAACTAAAAGGAAGAGACAGGGAGGTTAACCTAGACGAACCAATTTTCTACCCTGTACAGGGGCGGGCAAAAGGGTCGGAAAGAGGATAGATGTAGAGCGATATAAAATAAATTAGGAAAAAAAACAACCACAATGCGCACAACATTCAGGAGTTTCGATCACAGTCGTTTGGACAGGCCGGTTGAACGATAAAGCGCAGGAGCGCCTTCACAGCCTCTTCTGCGACATAAAGTCCTGTCGGCAGCGCAGGAGTCTTTTTTCCGAAAGATGCTGGTTGTCCAGCTCATCTAGTGCATTGCAGAGTGACTGTCTCTGCGAGCAGTATTGTGGGCATTCACACAGAATGTGCCAAGTTGTTTCATCACTGCCACAATGGTCGCATGCAGCAGTGTCAGCCATTCCTATGCGGAACGCGTACGCATTGGTAAATGCGACGCCCAACCATAATCTGCACAGCACGTCTCGTCGGCGTAATTCCGAAGGAATTTGAAGACTGAGGGTCGGGTCTAAAGTACCTAACCGTGCATGGATGAAATGTGACTCGCTCCATTGTGACGTGGTGCGCTTGCGAGCAAGCATGCGGAGTTTCCGTGCAGTGTCAGTTCTGGAAAGCGGAATTGATATTTCATTGCTTTCAGAATGGGCAAAACGGGCAGCTCGATCGGCCCGTTCATTGCCAATTATTCCACAGTGACTTGGAAGCCATTGAAAGGCTATTTCATGTCCTTCCTCAATGAATTGGTGAGTCTTTTTGCAATCTCAAATACCAGCTGTTCGTACGGGCCGTGGCGTAAAGGTGATAAAAGGGATTGCAGTGCCGCCTTTGAGTCACTGAAAATTGTCAATTTTTGTGGCTGTTGGTCGCTAATGAATTGCAATGCGGCACGAAGAGCTGTGAGCTCTGCTCACAAAGTGCCACACTAATTTCCGACCCGGGTGCAGGAGCGCCTGTGGCAGTGTCTTCTCGGCTGGCGCAGCGGACCCTCCTCTCAGCTGCTGCCGGCTGACGGAGCCAAGCTGCAGTGCTGTCTCAGGGCCGCCACGATCGAGTGCCAGAGGATGTGTTTGCGGGTGAGATTCATTTATACTTCGTTCTTAGGCATCGTCCTCGCTTTTTCCATACTAAGCTTTCGAAACACTTTTGGGACGTTAAACCCCTCATATCAATAAATAATTAATTAAATAAATAAATAATAAATAAATAAATAAATAAATAAATAAATAAATAAATAAATAAATAAATAAATAAATAAATAAATCAGTCATTCGAAACACTTTCGACTCAAGGGGGAAAAAGGTTGTTCCTTCATACTGAATATGAAGGAACAAGCTGAGGCAAAATGTATCTTAAACAGTAGCACCTGTTAGCGGTTACCCCGTCTTGATCTAGGACGTGAATGTTTGCATTCTGTACGCTTCTAACGCAATTTACATAAACAGGCGGCCTGTTGATCGGACAAAGAAGTTTTTTTTGTGCAGCTCAATTTTGACATGATAACAGTAAGGAGCTCGTTGCGCAGAAGATCCGATGCCGGCGTCGGCGTCATCGACTGCGAGCGAAGAATCAGCATTCTCCGTCATCAAGAAATCGATAAAGACCCAAAATTAAATCCATAATAAAAATAATCAGCCCGTGTGAATGGCGCAGCCAATGTGTGTATCAAAGGCCCGCCCTGTAAGAAGCGCTCAGACACATCTACTTGTCATCATTTGCAAGAACATCAACAAAGTGAGCAGCTTCTTGTGTTAACTTGTAAGCTTGCGTATGCGTATAGTGGGCCATTCGCTGATTTCTAAAAGTAAGAATTATGGCGTAGCGGACCCCGTGTACTTGCAGCAGGCATTCTGGGATAGTTTAAAACGATCGATGTTAACGCGCACGGAATTTCGTTTCGTTGAGCTGCTGTCCACCGAGAACCGAAGTCGGGCCAGCAAGTGAGAAGGCGATGCGCATAGGGCCCGATTAAGCCATCGCGTTCTACTCGAACCCTTTCAGCCCTGGAATTTTCAATTTTGTCAAAGACATTTTTTCAGTACGCATTTTACTAATACTTAGGGGCTCGGAAGACCGGAAATGAAAAATAAAATTAGTGAGTAGTGTAAGTAATTATGCATTTACAGACATGGCACTAATTAGGTAATCATGGCCCTGTAGTTATGAAATAACCAGAATGGCAAATTTATTCCTGCTATGCCTCAGAGTGCACAAAACCTGAACCAACGTAGTATTTGTGCCATTAAATGTACGTCGTTCCATTTCTCTTTTATCTTTATTCCATAAATATCGCTATAGCATCAGGCCATCTCCCTTACCACTGGAAGCGCCTTCACGCATATCACGCCGCTTGCATAATCAATATAGCATTAAACGCATCAGTGGACGAACTAACACTTTCAATTCATCAGCACTTCCCCGAGCCATTGTTCTATGGAATGATCTTCCCGACAATATTGCATCTATCAGTAACCATCAAGCATTTCTTGACCAATTGCGTAAGCATTTCTTGAAATAGTATCATGTCGTCACCATTACTTTTTATTTTCGCGAATTCTTCCTCCATTCTTTCCTTTGCGAGTGTGTGTGATTGGCGAAAAATTGTTTCATGGAATAAGAAATGCTGTTCCTCTGTTTGAAAATGCTTTGCAGGAAAAAAAAAAGTTCCTTAGCTGCACTGTACCCTTTTTTTCTTTTTTTCAATTTTGTTTTCCTGTATTTATTAATGCATTTATCTCTGATATTTTTTGTTTCATACTTGCTCCCCTTACTCAATGCCCTATCGGGCCCTGTAAGGTATCATGAATAAATAAATAAATAAATGAATAAATAAATAAATAATTTGAAAGTGTGGAAGCTCTTGAAACAGCTTGCGGAATTCAACCCGAAAATGCCGCCTTCCCGCCTCGTCGTCAACGATGACCTCGGTCCAGCTTCTGATTTACGGCTCCAAGCTCCGCAAAAATGAAACGACAGTGGTTTCAGTTGCAGTGGGGATAGTTGAAGAAGCGCTTCTCCAAGAATGAGTGGGCTCGATATCGTTTTCGAGTTTCTAGGTGAAATTTTCTTTGGTCTCGTCAATTGACGACACCAGGGCTGAAAGGGTTGAAGGGAAACTCAGGCATGCTCTAAAATTCTTTCTCTTTCATAGAAATTAATTATTAATAAATAAATAAATAATCAATAAACAGTCAATTAATTGATTGATCGATCGATCAATCAATAAACTTAAAATAAGTTTTCAGCTAGAAGCCTGTCGAACATGAAGCTTCGACAGGATGAGCCCATAAGCTTATACAGTTGATAGACTTCTGAGTATATCTATCACACTACGTAGTACTGTGGTAGGCCTTGGCGAAAATTGTCTTATAAGATCTTGATGTACTGCATAACTCCACTCCTATAAAAAATACAGATTTATGAAACCACGTAGTACTGCGCCCTAAGGCAGGCTTTAAAAAAGTCTTTTAAACTGTTGATATACTTCCTAAATAAACTCTTACGAAAAAAATTATTATGGCACAGATTCCCATGTAATTATTGATTTGATTGATATGTGGGGTTTAACGTACCGAAAACACCACATGAATATGAGAGACACCGGAGTGGAGGGCTCAGGAAATTCGGACCACCTGGGGTTCTTTGACGTGCATCTAAATCTGAGCACGGGGGCCTACAGCGTTTTCACCTCCATCGAAAATGCAGCCACAGTCGGGATTTGATCCGGCGACCTGCGGGTCAGCAGCCGAGTACATTTTCCACTAAATCACCACAGCGGGACCAGATTACCATGTACATTGCAAATACTGCGGCAAAAGAAAGAAAGATTAAGATGACAAGTGTTATCGGCAGAGGAACGCTCTATATCTTCTTATGCGCGAGATAAAAACATAGAATAAAAAGGTGATCGAATGAAACAAAGGCAACTAAACACTCATAATTGAAAATTTTGTTGGAGCGCACTAAAAAACGGACCGATAGAAGAGGCTGACAAGGACAGCGCTTAGAGAGAGAGAGAGAGAGAAAATTTATTGCGGAAAGGCAGGGAGGTTAACCAGAAAACATATCCGGTTTGCTACCCTGCACTGGGGAAAGGGTAAGGGGAAAGGGAGGAAGAGAAGCACAAACACACATACACACACTCGCACACAGTAGTGTCACAATCGTTCAACGAGGCGGGTCGCTCGCAGAAACTTCATCAGCGCCTTCGTTGCTTTCTGGCGTGAAGCTCGATCTTTCCGACATTCCAAGATTGACTGCTCAGAAAATGGCTGGTCGTCGAGGCGAGCAAACACTGCTGAGAGGGACTGTCGCTGAGAGCTGTACTGGGGGCACTGACATAAAATATGTTCAATTGTTTCGTCATTGTCGCAATGATCGCATGTAGCGCTGTCTCTCATTCCGATGCGGCAGGCAAAAGCGTTCGGAAAGACACCCCAAGCCACTACGGCAGAGAAGGCCAGATGGAATAGTAAGTCGTAGGCATGGGTCCAGGCGGTGAAGACGGGTGTGGAGAAAACCGGGCGTATTCCGCATAGACCTTGTGACATCCTGCGCAAGCGTATTAATCTTTTGCTGCTGCGTCGCCTTCTTGATAGTGGAATAGGTTCCATAACTCCATTTTTCGTGAGCATTCTTAGCTGCATTGTCCGGCATGCTCGTTACCGATGATGCCGCAATGGCCTGGTAACCACTGAAAAGATATGTCATGTCCTTCGTCTATTAGGTGATGGTACAGTTTTCGTATTCGAGCGCCAATTGATCTTGAGGTCCACGACGTAGGTATTGTGTAGACATTGGAGAGATGGTTTCGAATCAGTAACAATGCTCCATTTTTGTGGTGTCTCTGGTCAATCCTGCCGGAGTGCGCTGCGGAGTGCCGCGAGCTCCACGGCTGTCGATGTCGTCTTGTGTGACGTTCTGAACTGGATGGTTTCGGCTCTTGCTGGGAAGATCACAGCTCCTGCAGATCCTCCAACAGTTGTCGAGCCATCCGTGTAAAGTTTGACATGATCTTTGTATTCTTCGTGTAGCATGAGTAGAATCATCTGCTTTAAAGCTGGCGCCGAGAGCTCCGCCTTCTTGCGAATCCCCGGCACTGTCAAGCGCAGTTTTGGTCGGTCCAAGCACCAAGGAGGTGTTAGTATCCGTTCCGGAGGTGTGTAGACTGTTGGAAGGCACTCACGGAAAGTCAATACTCTCTTACAGAAGGAGGCACTCGGTCGATCTTCTGGAAGCGAAGCTAGGTGGTGGGCAGGGGCGCGAGCAAGGTGTCTAATATGAGCTCTAAGCACCTCCAAAGTAATGTGCACAGTGGCCGGATGATCTTTGGCGATTGTGATGGTTTCCGCTGTTGATGTACAGCGTGGTAATCCAAGACAAACTCTGAGTGCCTGGCCCTGGGCGTTTTCTATTGTGCGTATACTGCTTTTGCAAGCGTTCGTCAGAACCGGCAAGCTATACAGCAGGTACCCCAGAAACAGCGTTTTGTACAAATGCAACATCGCGTGCACTGATGTGCCCCACGTTTTGCCTCCGAGGAACTTGAAAAGTTGCGCGAAGGCCGTTAGGCGCTTCTTTAGAGTGGCCACATGGGGACTCCAGCAGAGATTTCGATCGATCGTGACCCCCAAAAACCTGTGGGTCCTGGCGTAGCAGACACTGTGTCCATTGATGGCGATGGGATATGACGTCATTGCCTTCCGCGTGAACGCGACCAGCGCCGATTTCTCAGGAGAAATCTCGAGGCCTTGTTCTCTAAGGTACGCCGATATTGAATTCGCTGCTTTCTGGAGTCTCGCACGTACCTGAGGACGTGTTACACCTGATGTCCAGGCACAAATATCATCTGCATAGAGAGATATCTGCATGGAATCTGGTATGCGTTCAACGAGACCGATCAGAACCAGGTTGAACAGTGTGGGGCTCAATACACCACCTTGAGGAACACCACGGTGTGTATAATGTTCAGAAGTCGGCCCATCATCAGTTTGCATAAACAATGATCTCATATGTAGGTAGCATTGGATCCAGCGGTACACTCGCCCACCCAAACCAACTGACTCGAGGGCGTCAAGTATGGCTTCGTGAGAAACATTGTCATATGCTCCTTTGACATCTAAAAATAGTGCGACAGATAACCGTCTGCTCATTTTCTGGTGTTGTACGTAGGTCACCAGGTCAGTGACATTGTCAATGGAGCTCCGAAGACGACGAAAACCGGCCATGGCGTCTGGATATATTCTATGGCGTTCTAGGAACCACTCGAGTCTGGCAAGGATCATTCGCTCCATCAGCTTCCCTACGCAACTAGCCAGCGCTATTGGGCGGTATGATGTCAGCTCTAGAGGCGATTTTCCAGGTTTGAGAAGTGCAACCAACCGGCTTGTTTTCCACTCTCTGGGGACCGTTCCATCTCTCCAAGACTCATTGAATACTTCCAGCAAAGCATTTCGTGCTCGATCACCGAGATTGCATAATAGGCGGTATGATATGCCATCCGGCCCAGGCGATGACGATCGATTGCATGAAGCAAGAGCCACATTCAGTTCTTCCATTGAAAAAGGCAGGTCCAGGTGCGGGTCAAGTGAATGTGGCGTGTAATCAGCAGTAAGGGCTTCTGTGCAATTTGGTGGGCCCGCAATCTTCCTACAAAAATCTTCCGCTACCTCGATATCCCTTCTATTTTGGAAAAGGGCCAAGGCTTTAAACGGAAAACGTTGTTGGGGAAATGTGCGTAGGCCTCGCACGGTTCGCCATATTTGAGGAAAGCGGTTTGCGAGGGTCTAGACTCGCGCAAAATTTCGCCCACCGTTGAAACTCCAGTTTGTCTATACGACGCTGGATCTTCTTTTGCATACGCCTGGCCATCCGTAGATCTTGAATGGATTTTGTGCGTCGATATCTACGCTCCGCACGCCGACGAGTCGCACGGAGTCGCTCTAACTCCATGTCCGTTTCTGAGGGCCTTGAAGAATATGCCAGCGTGCGCATCGCACTCTGCGCTGCTTGTTTGATCGCTTGCTCAATGCCAGAGGTTAAGCCTTTTTCACAAGCGTGTTCAATGTTGGTTGTGAATGCTGAAAGATCGATCCTCCGTACGGTTTTCGGCGGGTGGTCGCTAGCAAAGCCTTCGATGGTGAGATAACTGGGGATGTGATCGCTACCATGTGTCTCGATGTCTAAAAACCACTTAACGCTTGTGGCGAAGCGACGTGACACGAACGTCAAGTCCAAACAGCTGCTGTACGTTGATCCTCGCAGAAATGTAGGGCTCCCATCATTAAGTAGAGACAGTTCATGAGTCGATACAAATGAAGCCAGCCTCCGGCCCGTGGTATTGACTTTTGAACTTCCCCAGATTGGGTGGTGGGCGTTGAAGTCCCCTATAATTATCCACGGATCCGGGACGCTCGAAAGAATGTCATCCAGTCTTTGGCAATCAAACGGGCTGAGGGAGATAAGTAGACACCTATTAATGTGAAGGTGAGGGTTTTCTGCTTCACAGTCAGGCAAACATATTGGTTCTCATCATGAGGCGACACAGGTTGAATGATGTAGGTAAGCTCCCGACGAATATACACAATGACCTTGCTGCTTTCGTTTTGGGTTTTGGACGGGATTGATTCGTAGCCAGATAGCCTGATCGGGTTTGATAATTTCGGTTCACATATTACGATGATTGGGAAAAGGTTAGAAGACACGTACTGACGAAAATCGGAAATCCGTGATCTAAGTCCTCTTGCGTTCCACTGGATGACTGATGCTTCTCTGACGTCTTTGCGGAACGATTGTTGATCTCCTGCCATGACTCTACGCGAGGGAGGCGAGGACTGGGCTCAGCGCGTCCAACACCTGTAACCCGCTTCGAGCGGTTGGAGTTCCCAGGCTTCTTAGTATGTCTGCCATGACAGCGACGAGGGATCGTAACATCGGGATGATCTGTCGATCGACCCTTGACACATCCTCAACGGAAGTAGACTCGGTGGAAGGTGTAGGGCGGCGAGGCCTCGCAGGAGGCTCCTTTGTCGGCTGCGTACGCGGAAGCGTAGGCCACTCATCCGCAGCTGTGAGCTTCTCCACTTCATTTCGCTTCGTGCTTACTACTTCACTCGTGCTCGGAGGAAATGGGTTATGCGCAACACTCTGTCCTACACGCCTCCGTCGGCGACTACGTCGCCGCCGTACCCTTTCAGCAGCCTCTCTGTGGGTTGAATTGTCCCTAACCATTTGTTTGATAATGGCGATTTCCTTCTTAATCCGAGGGCATTGCTTGGATGCAGCATCATGCGGACCATCACAGTTTCTGCACTTCAGACTTGTTGCCCGACATGCGTCTGCAGTGTGCGGCTCAGCGCATCGGGGGCATACTGTGGTGTTTGTACATACACTCTTGATGTGACCAATTTTCATGCAGTTATGGCACTGGAGTGGTTTAGGGACAAATGGTCGAACAGGATGTCGGAAGTGTCCCACTTTGACATGCGACGGAATGGAATCTCCTTTGAACATTATCTTTACACATCGGGTGTTTCCGAGGCGAAGTACATTCGCGATGAGAACTCCTTCGTTCGCTGGTTTTATGAGAGTTGGGAGGTCCGAGTTTGCTATGGCCAAATCAATGTCGTAGATTACTCCCGCCGTGCAGGCACCGTCCATTGGAATAACCGGTCGTACTTTGATGCCTCCCAAATCTGATACTCTGCGAAGCTTGTCTATGGCGCTGGCAGTCATTGTGTCCACAGCTAGAATATTCTTCCGCGTGTTCACCCGGATATCCTTAATGTCGTTTGGTGCTACCCCCTCAAAGTACATAGAGAGAGCTTGCCTGTTTACTGCTCGAAGGCTGATGGTGGAGTCCTCGGGCATGAAGAGGATGGTGTGCGGCCAGCATTCTCCTTTTGACTGAGACGTTAATGTCCCTGCTGGTGAAGACGACTTGATACTTCTTCTTTTGGCCTTCCTGCTTCTCACGGTCTCGAAGTCGTCATCCGACGAGTCGTCGCCAGTGGCCGAGTACAGTTCCGTGTCCTCGCTGGTGCTCGAACAGGTGCTTCGTTTCCGCGACGAGCTTGCCAAAGGTGGTCTGTGGTCGGACATAGCCGCAGAAGGCTCCACGTCCACAGCCATGATGCAGTGACTATCACCGTTGGCCTCACTGGTTCTGGGCCAGGCGCGCTGATTTACCGAGGAGCTCGCCATAGCAGACCTCTGGCTGGGCGGACCAGTGGATGACTCCGCGTCCGTCGCCTTGGGGCAGGGAGCAGCGTCTCCCGTAGAAAGCGAAAAACTTGATAACAATGCTCGGAGCCGAAAGCAGAAGCGTTCTATGAAGAGACACTTCGTCGTCGTCCGACAGCGCTTACTGTCCCAGGAAAGTATAGGGGAGTTTATAGACCGAATTGTAAGGTAAATGTTAAGAAAGAAAAGTGGGTGAAAATATAACTTGCCGTGGGCAGGAACCATATATACGAACGAAATACGCGAGGGACCATTGGTCAGCCTCTTCTGTCCGTCCGTTTTTTAGCGCGCTTCAACGAAATTTTCAATTATGAACGTAATCCAACCGGCCCAACTTTCTATCTTGCTGCAAACTAAACACACGTCCGATTAATAACACTGCGCATTAAATGGAGTAAGGAAGGGCAAATCAAGAAAAAAAAACATGAAAGCGAGAAAAACATCTGAAAATCGGCAAGTGCACGTAGGGAGAAATGTCTGCTTACGGTGGAAATTTATTGCGATTGCGACATAGTTTCCTGAAGAAGAGAAGGTCGCGATTTACAAGAGTAACTGCGCCATTCGTTTCGGGTTGCGCAACGCTTTGCCGTGCACCTGCGTTAACCGGATATCGCTGTACTGGTTGTAAAACTGCACGGCTGTGCCGCAGGCGTTCGGATCCGAGTGGGAGACCTCGTGGGAGACCTTCCACAACCGCTGCCGCTACCAGCCAGCCGAAGCGGCCCTGCGACAGTGCCTTGACGACGGTGTGTGTTCCCTTTCTTTCTCTGCGAAGCGCTGCTCACTTCTGATGACCTGAGTAAAAACGGAACAGGATAGAACGAAACGCAACCTCTTGCTCATACACAATGGGGAATTCGTTATTTCCAAAATAGATCCTACGGATTACAGTACCGACGTTACTGTAAACAGGCGCGAAAACTTTTTTTCCCCGGTCCCTGAGTGCAGCAATATTCACTTTCTGATTGTACAATAAAGTTGTAAGGGGTCGAGAACGCTGCAAACAGGTGCTGTTTTTTGTGTCGGGCAACTGTCGTGTTCCGTGATGTTGTGCGCGAAAGAGACGTCTCGACAAATAGATGAGAAAAACCTCGATGCGCCACGCGTTTCCCTACATCGTCGGTTTTGTAAGCGATGTTTACGTAACAAAGTTATTAATAGCAAAAAAACAGTTACAGCACGAATACCTAAAGTGGCGTCGAATTGAAAGACAGATTAACACACGCACGTCACAACAGTTAAATATTATGTGAGGCACTTAGACCAGCTGGTACATGAAAGCCAATGCCCCCCCCCCCCCTCCCTTTTTTTTTTAAATTAACGAAGCCTTCGCGAACCCTTTGAGACAGCTCAACAGACGCATCACGTTAGAAAAAAAATGACTTGGCAGATGTGCGCCCGAAACATAAACTTTGTTTGCTTTGGCCATAAAGTTAACCAACCGTGCGTGCCGCCAGCACTGTGTTAGTCAACATTAATACTCGAAAGAGTATACCTTAAAGGGCGGCGTGCACATCGTTCGTTGGGCGCACAGGACCCTCCGCATGAGACTGATTAGGAGTGCGCTTCAGCACTGGCGCAACGGAAACGTCGCGAAGCGTATAACCCCCGACTTGCGTCACTTCAGATCGCTGTCACCGCAACTGTCAATTGAATGATTAATGAACCGGGTTTTAGCGCTGCAATATGATAACCTTGAACATTAGGGTTAAGGTTAAGGATGTTGTAGGTAGCCGGCGGATCTATAGCCTTGCATAATTTCCAAGCAATTGCCTCGCCCGGTTTCCGCTTTGCTAACTGTAACTTATATTCTTTGTTTGTTTTTTTTAACTAAGCACAAGCAGGCTCTTATTATCAAAATCGTGCATAGCGCGACGTAAGCCTGCATAGGACGGCGGCCTCTGTGCTATTCCACATGCAGCATTGTGCCAGTACTCTATCTCTGACGAAGGCCGGGCCCATTCTGACGAAGGCCGGGCCCACGGTCGAAACGTCAAGTAAAAAATCTTTTCACTTGTGAGTCAAACTCCTTTTATTCTCCTATTATTCCCGGATCCGGCGACAAACGCTCCTCCAATATATATATATATTATATATATATATATATATATATATATATATATATATATATATATATATATATATATATATAAGGGAAAGAAGTGTATACCTAAGGGCTCGTTTTTCCGTGTTTTAACACAATAATAATGAGATCTAACAGACAGTAATGCCAAGGAATGTACAGGGGAAGTTATTAGAACCAATTGACGGCAAATAAGAAAAAAGATAAATTGGATGAAAAAATTACCAGCCGTGAGCAGGAATCGAACATACGACCTTCGAATAACGCGTTCGATGTTCTAACCACTGAGCTACCACAGCGGCCTTCCCTCCATCCACTTTTTTGGGTTTGTATGTGAATTTAGAAGTAGGAGTGACAGTCAGCGCCATCTATAAGCCAAACGACGAGTGTGAAAACACTCTTATGCGCATACTTGGCGTCACGTAGCACGTGAACTTATTATGAGCGGGCAGCTGATTAATTGTACCTCTTATACAACCTAAACACACACACACACACACACACACACACACACACACACACACACACACACACACACACACACATATATATATATATATATATATATATATATATATATATATATATATATATATATATATATATATATATATATATATATATATATATATATATGATGCATGTAATAATATTACACGCGATGCTTTTTATGCATTACCTCACAACTTTCCTTATGAATACAATTATGTTGATGGCGGCCTCCTCAACGGCAAATATTTTATCATTGAATGAAATTTTTAATCACTAAAAACAGCTCACAAAGAAATCTGTTTTTAAATGTGAAGCACTCCTTGAGGAACGAAAGGTACTTCGAGCGTTTCTATCTACTTAATTTAGCTACACCCTTAGTTCGAGTGCACTGCCTTATTCATCACCGCATTGAAAGCTGCCTCCATCCCTCCAAGTTGTCATAAGCAAGGCTGATCAGATTCATCGGAGATTAAAGCGGAAATCTTTCTTGGTGCTTCCCAGTACGGCAAAACTAAAATATTTAGAAAGATTAGTCGCACTCATGTGCTCACAGCAACTTCAACAAATCAGCGGTGATGGTAATTTTTTTTTTGATGAAAGAAAATCATTTTCCTGAAGCAGCAAATGCTTTGACCGGTCCGTAAAAAGTTTGTTCGTTCCCATTTATAACTGCATCGGCCAGTCGCAGCAGAGTAAAAACATGAACAAGTGATGTAATATATAGGGCCCCTTTTCAGCGCTAGCCTGCTGTGCAGTGCTACTGCACAGGGCGAAAAGCGTCACAAAGAGCCTTCAAGGAAAATCTTCACTGCTATAATGTTGAAAACTATCACTATATTATTACATTGCCTCGTAATATTTTCTTTTTCTCGTAACAATGTAATTGAGTGATTACAGTGGTGAAGAAAAATTTTGCCTCATTTGTTTTTTTCCCCAGCCGACAGCGACCACTGTCGAAAGGGGGGGGGGGGGCTCAGCCTCCCTCCCCCAACTTTTCTTGGTGGGGGGGGGATTTCGCTTCCCTTGCCCCCCCTTCCTGCTGATACGCCTATGAGTGCATGAGTGGTACAGTTTTTTCTTTTTTTTTGTCGCGAAGACGATCTTCTGTCACAATTTGGTCATCTGGGCAGGGTCTTTTCAGACTTCCTAAGCTGTATATGACTATAGATGTGTAATAAAATACAATCTATTACATGTACATAGTTTTAGGAAAGGGGAATTGACACCCAGCCATTTGTAGCACGAAGCTAAAACGAAATCCACACGGACTTCTCAGAAAGGAAGCTTCTTAGCGACGGAAACTTCGTCCTTGTTCGGGGATCGAACCCGGGGCCAACCTCTCCCTCTGGTTGTCGCTCTACCAAATGAGATAACCAGGAAGTTAGTGAATGGTAGCACGAGGGCGAAATAACCAGTTAACCCCTGATTTTCGCGTAGTTCAGGTAAGGTAACAAAGTATACATGTGAATGTAGTAGAAAGCAAAAATATTATCAGTGCCACATAATGGTAAATAATGGTGGAACTGCATTACATAGAAGTCCAACGCCGTGGTGCAGCGGATCCCGGCTACGGTGGCTGCATTTCGACGGAAGCAGAATGGTAGAAGCTCGTGTACTGTGCGAGGTCGCCGCACGTCGAATAACACCAGATGGTGGAAATATTCGGAGCCCTCTACTACTACTACGACCCTCATGATGAAATCGTAGTTTTTGGGGCGTGAAACCTGAGATATTATCATCATCACCACCACCACCACCACATTCATTATTATTATTATTATTATTATTATTATTATTATTATTATTATTATTATTATTATTATTATTATTATTATTATTATTATTATTATTCATCGTAGTGGACGAGCCATGCGAGTTGGGTTGCGGAGGACCTCTGACTTTCTGCGCACACCTGGGAGCCAGGCCGTGGTCGCTGTACCGGAGATGCGACGCCAGCGCCGACCGTGTGGCGAGGGAGAGCGCCCGGCTGTGGATGCGCAGCGGACCGCCGACGGCGATGGAGAGCGGCGTGCGGCGGGAGGCCCCGACTCCGCCCTTGGGTGACTGTCCCGCGGACGCGTGGAGAGAGCTCGCCTGCACGCTCAACCTCAGGCCGTGCCACGCGACGCACCACTCGAGCACGCTCTGCAGGTATTCCGTGTTTGTAAACAGCGGTGGGCGCCGCCGACGCACGAGGGCGCTCGTAGCGACGTCCCTACATAGCGCGACTCTGCGAGCTATAGTCGGGGCAGACGGGTTTGATGGCGTAGGAAACTAAGCTGCTCAGGCGGATATGGTGGATGGTAAAACTTTATTTCGTCAGAAAGCAACTGAGGATGATTCCGTGTTAGATGGCCATCAACCCAAGGTTGGCGGCGACCTGTGTGGCCCACTCCACGACCCTTAACTGGACGACTGGGTCTGAGCTGGTCAACACGGCCTCCCAGTGCTCAAGAGAGGGATCACGCATAATATCCACCGGTGGCGGATAAGTTTTGTGACGCGAACAGGACAAGGACCAGAAGGGACACGGAAGAGCACCGAGTTTGAACTGAATGTTTAATTATCGTGCGAGTGCACACATCTTCAAAAAGTCAGACGAAGGCTGTTAGGAAAGCAACCATCCTTTAATGAAGGATAGTGACGGCGTGCTGACTTCCCTACTTCCCTCGATATCAATGAAATATGTCTGAATAATTTAGCGTTCGAGCTTATCGTGGGTCTGTCTCGAAAACGTGGTTTTA